CCTCCATACCCAAATCTCTTAAAAAGGGGCTGCAACGGATCTGATACATACTGATCCAGATTTGAACACTTTTCTGACGTCAGGACGGTGGCGCTAAGGCTAATGGGCCAACTCCACCAATCAGGAGGAGACAGCCACGGACATTACCGTTCGAAAGCGCTGGAGACGCTGTAGTACATATTTCAGGCCACCAGATGGTGCTGTTCTCACTAAATCCGAGCATGAAAGGCATTGTTAAATTGAGTGAAATGAGGAATGGATAAAATGCATGATCTGTTTGGTATTGTGACAAATAAAAAGTATAAATATGCCTTATATAGGTATGGTCCTACACTATATTATTCAAATATAGCATGATAGGTCCACTTTAAATAGTTTCTTTCTGCTTCAGAGAGCTGAAGTTTGTATCACGCAGTCTGTCTTGCCTCTTTTGAATGACGAATACACACTACCGCCACCTGCTAAGGAGAGTTATTGCCACTCACGCATGCGCAGTGCGTACGTGCGACTTGGCTGTCGGCTGAAGTCTTTGCGATGTGTTCCAGTGCGACTTTTTGGCCAAGACGCAGGAGACGCGAGTCAACAAAACAGTCGTGTTCCGTCGGGACGTGTTCTTTGGTGTCAGTTTGGTGTGTCAGGGCCTTTAAACACTAAGGTCTGAAGCTGCTGTTCTGCACTTATGTTTAAATGTCACTCTCCCATTTCTTTTTTAAAAGAGTGAAAGGGATATAGGATAAAGTGGAGAGAGGTGAAAGACTCAGGTGGAGAGTGGGGATAAAAAGGAACTGATGGAATGAGATATTAGATTGAGTCAACGGGGAGATATGTAGAAAACTTTATGGGAACTGGGGGCTGAAGTTGAGTGTCTGAAGAAAGAGAATAAAAGATGACAAGAAGAGAAGGGATTGGTAGGAGAGGGGAGAGGATGCAACACATGTCCTGACTCTCTGCTGCGCTCCAATTAGCATCCTTATGAAGCCTCTAAGACAGTGGTTGTCAACCGCTGTGCCAAGGAAATGGGCTGTGCGACAAACGGTTATTGGCCCTGACGTTTTTTTCCCTGTGAGCAGTCTAAAGCAGAACGAGGTGACTACGGAAAAAGTGTTTTTGTTGATGTAATTCTAGTAAATATTAGCCAGTGAAATATACACACTCAGTCCCGTAAACTAAAACATGAATCTGAATCTCAAGCAGTCTCAAACTAATTACACTAAATCTCAGGGGGCTTCAATACGAAACCCCCCTGAGATCCTACTGCGAACAAGAAAGAAACTCCCCCTAAAGAAACCTTGCATTTAAAAGGGAGAACAATTGAAGAAACCTCAGGGATCCCTCTTCCCTGGATGACATATGTGCAAGATATATACAGCATGTTGTGGGTACCGAGAAAAAAATCGAATAAAATCACAATATAGACAACCCAAGTTGCAGTTTGCATCCATGTCTGTCCAAAATGGCCTAAAACATGTTTTGTGAGGTCAGGTCATAGCGACCTTGATGCTTGGCCACCAAAATCTAATCAGTCTATCCTTGCAACCCAGTCTCACGGCATTTCGTGTTATATTCACGACATTTAATCTATTGATTCGTGTTCACCAACAGGATTTTCCCCTTTTTTCGTGTCACAGAACGATTTTAAAATCAATGTATTTCTATTGGTAGTATGTTTCGTGCCTGCACCACGTCTTTTTGTCCGTTCGGGTCTTGGAAGAACGGAAGCTGTGGGGTTCATAAAAACATGTTCTTACTCAATATCAAGCCACGATTATTGTTTTTATTTTAAATCGTATAATGTCTGACTTTTTTTGTCATCTGTGAGCAAAAGAAATGGGGCTCCGAGCCTCAGAATACTGACATCTGTATTTTTTTTAATCTTTTTTTCATTCTAATTTGTTATTCTTTTCTAAATAACACACTGTTATTTACTCACCAATGACACACAATTATCCTTGTTTTTATTTATTTGTTTAATTCCATAATCTCTGGCTTTTTTGGCATCCGTCAGGAACTGAATTTCAAAATAAAAATAACCGGAAACAGGCGTAGGACATTTCGAGCATCATTGCGATACACAGCCACCCCCACCAGGACACCCTGTCCTCACTGTGCAGCACCTTCAGCGACAGGCTGCTGCACCCCACCTGTCACACGGAGAGATACACGGACACGGAGACACAGAGGCACGGAGAGGTCCTTCCTTCCTGCAGCGGTCAGACTTTACAACCAGCACAGCCCCTAGTATACCCTCCTACACACACCACAACACAGACTATAACACCCCTTGCTGCTAAATACAAACCAACTTTGTGCAATATGTGCAATATACAGTATATATGAAAACATTTGAAAACAGCCTGAGTGCTTTGTCAAGTAAACCTAATGATGGTATAGTGATGTCATCAGGGTGAGAACAATTTAATGGATTTACTGTTTATCCGACAATAACATTTGAGAATAATTAGCTAGCTAGCGCACCCTAACCCACGTCACTCCCCGCCGCTAGGAAACTAGTTCGTTAATAGGAGACAACTCAGCAACTCCATACTCTCCTAGCAGTGAGAAGTGACAGACTAGCAGTTTAGACGGACCAAAAAGCTTGCTGTTCAATTTATCTCCTGAAACCAGTGTAGTAGTGTGTGATGCTAGCTAACTAGCCAATTCAACAACTGAATGACCAACAATCATACCACTTTTCCACCACATGACTTTTGTTCACAACTTCTTACGTACCGAACCGTGACCTAAAAACCGAGGTACGTCCCGAACCAAAATGTTTGTGAACCGTTCCACCCCTATAGGCCACACACACACACACACACACACACACACACACACACACACACACACACACGCTTCATTTCTGTGCTATGCTGGTGCAGCCCTAATATCTGAGTCAGATTCGTCACTGTACTTGACATATTTTTTACTAAATCTGTCTGAGCTCCATATAATCTGAGAGTTTGCGGGGAAAAAACTCAGAAAGACTAAGCACACTCACTGTCTCTGAGTAGATAAGCAGCCACCTGCCTGCCAGTCAATCGAGGTACCTCCTGAAAGAGAAATTAAAGAGTTAAGAGCTTATTCTCAAAAAGCATTTTAGTCGTACTGCTAAAATTAGCACTTGTGCCACTTTCACAATTTCCTATCAAGAAGACATTTTACACTGTATGGCTTCATAGGTTCAACCCAAAAAACTTAGGAGGCAACCGTACTGGTTAGTAGATCAACAAAACACAACCACCAAGATTGTGGTCTGTTTTTCTGCTTCAATGTGTAGACAACACATTGAAGGAGAAAAACAGATCCACACAGTCTAACTCTTTCCCTATCTCAACCAAATAAGAGTCACATGTCTTGTGAAGGCATGAGGCTTCATATCACGCAGTAATCTGCTGAGGGAACAATCATACCACTGTTGCTGCAGACTGTCAGAGGTGAGAGGCCAATCACAACTCTCTTCCTCTTTTTCTCTTGAAAGACACACACTCCGGTCCACTGGTACAGTCTGACACAACTAATGGCAGCTTGCAAGGAAACTAACATTTCAAAGAACATGCCAAAGTGTGATCTTGGCTAAAGTCTTCTGATTATAATCTACTTATCCCATTCAGAATGTGTGTGTTATGAAGACAGCTCATTGTATTGTGAAACAAAACAAAAACTACTTGTCAAGCAACAGAGAAGATCAGATTTGTGCACACTTTTTAAATGTTGAAGTTAAAAGCATCAATCTGGTGCACTTTGAGAGCAACATTAGGAGATATATGGATCTCTCAACACCCATATGAAACAGAACTGTAAGCAGATTTTCTTTTTCTTTATGGATATTTTACAAATCAATCTCCCCTTTCAAATTGTATTCTTGTTTATTAATAACTACTTTTTTTTACTTTCATATAGTATTTTATACCCGTTTACTTTATGCTCTTGTTTTCTTATAACTATAATGATCATATTGTAGTGCCGAGAGATAGGGAGTTGGAGGCGGTGCAATGGAGGTGAAAAAGTGAACTTTATTGCGGAGCAGAAAAGGACATGTTGCTGGCTTGCAGTCCGAGTAGCCAAGAGGAAGAGAAAAGAAGGAGGACACAGTATGGTCCCCAGCAGGAAGGAAAGCTGCCCGGCCGCAGGCGAGGGTGCAGCGCGGCGGGCACGAAGTCCTCGGGAGGAAAGAACCGGGTCCCCGGGGGGCAGGAGCAGCACCCCCGGGAGGTAGGAGCCGTGGACAGGGGAGAGGCCAGACTGAGCGCCGTCCGAAGCTGCCGTCGAGGCGAACCGTGGTAAGAGGAGAGGCCAGGCAGGGTCCCGGAGCGCGCCACCCACGGGCCGATGAAGGCATGGGCGACGTCCGAAACCGCTGAGGCAAAGGAAGAGGCCAGACAGGGTCCCGGAGCGTGCCACCCACGGGCCGACGAAGGCATGGGCGACGTCCGAAACTGTCAAGGCGGTCCAGAAGCGCGCCACCCAGGCGCCGATGAGAGCGCGGGTGGCGTCCGAAGCCACCGTCGAGGTGATGAAAAGGCGAGAGGGTCCACACGAGGCCGACCAGACATGGTCGAACCTCCTCTGAGGCACCAGAAAAAGCTCAAAAAGGGCCGTACTGTCCACGGTCCAAAAAGGTAAGTGAAATCGTGAGAGGATCCACACGAGGCCATCCGGACATGGTCGAACCCACTCTCAGGCACCAGGGAAAAAACATAAAAAAGGATCGATAGCCGTCAGCAGCTAGCCGTTAGCTGTGGCCGCACAACCAGAAGAAAACAGCCCCACGAGGTAGCAATCGGGTTCATCCCTACCCAGCAGGTCGTGCATGGTCTCCCTGTAGCCGGAAGGCCGATGCGGGAATGGCGAGCAACGTCCCCAGCCATTCCGCGGGGCACGCACCAAGCCTCAGTCCGCGTTCCGGTGGCAGCCACGGACGTCTCCAAACATCCCCGGCATTTCGAGAAGAAAAACTGAGTTTTTCTGCCGTCTCTGGGTCCGTCCCGGAAACTTCACGAGACGTTGTTAGGGTCACCAATGTAGTGCCGAGAGATAGGGAGTTGGAGGCGGTGCAATGGAGGTGCAAAAGACCTCAAAAAAAAAACTCACTCCACCCTGTGTGCGCTCCTCAAGTTTGCCTGCGTGCTTGCCCAAGTTGGCACAAATGTGCCACAAAACCAACCAATGGATGTAGCCTATAATGAGACCGTCAACAGCCTTATGGCAACCTAAAACCCCTCTGTAACAGCCCCCCCCGTCCCCGTCCCCCGTTGACAATTCAGATTTCCCGAGAAATGTAAGTTTCGGGGTGGGCCCGCCCTGGTAAATCAAATGCCAGCCCAGAGACGTATGTCTGCCGCCGGGTCTGACCTCTGACACAGGCCGTTTCTCAATTGCGAGGATGCTGGCTTGGTAGTAGCATACTTCCAAGTCATTTCCTTCAGAAACGAAGCAAGTATAATTCCGAGCCACGGCTTCGGAAAACAAAGAAAAATGGAATAGGCTAACAAGTGTGCCACTCTCTCTAACGGTTTCAACATAAACTGTACCGAAAATAAACACCTCACGATGTCTATCTAATTATGAACTTGCTTTACTTTCATGGAACACATTTTTGGTGATAACAAATGCAACAAAGTAACATATTTACCAACACATGTTCTATGCCACTACATACTTACATTTAAATGTGTCGCTGCGTCAGTTCAGCCATTCTCCGCAAGGGTTTTTGAAATTGGTCCGTGCGCAAAGCATTGTGGGGATTTGAAGGACGCAAAGTCTACCCATGTGCAACCTCGGAATTACCCCCAAACCAAGGACGTGGCCTCGGTGGAATTCCAAGTAGGCTGGAGATTGGAACAGTCCTTCGGCGGCACTCGATGACGTAGTAGCCCTATTCTTGAAATATTGGGCTTGAAGCCAGTTTAAGCCGCCAGCCTTGTAGTTCCCTAGACTTGAATTATGTCCCAAGTGTATTTAACCAACGCACAACTTGTTGTCACAACAAATTGTCACCACAATATAAACGATGTGCCCTTCCTACCTTCACTGGTTGTAGAAAAAGCTTCTTACGATTCAGTTAGCATAGGCTAGGCTTAAACGCAGATGATACGCATAAACAGACAACAGATTATTGAACTCAGTATGGATCAGTATCGACACGATGACACAGATCAGCCACCTGGCGTTTAGCAAACTAAATGACAGCTAGCCAGCGCAAAAACTGGCCGGGTATGTTGTGAGCGGCTCTTTATGGGTAAGGGTTGCAATTTCTGAAGTGCGCGGAGTCCGCGTTCTGGGTGCTCTCCGTCAGAACTGGGCAGCGCCCTGTCAGACGAGATCATATACAGAGCGCTGTTGTGTTCAAGGGACCTCTGACCTTCCGGCCATGGAAACAGCAGGGCACTCGCTTTTTGTTTACTATTCTTTGCGGTCTAGAGTATTCCTCATTTAATTTTTTTCATTTTTTGCGGTGTTTATAAATTAACCGTGCAGAAGGGCCGTACGCAAATGTGCCGGCGGGCCCGTATGGCGGCTCAGGCGGAGGCCGGAGGTTGGCTCCGTAGCAGCCATCTCTTCCTCCCTTAGACTTCCNGCCAGGCTCAATTTATGCTGCGTTTCCATTACAGTTTAGGAACTGGGGTAGTATCTATAGTAACGCAGTGTAGGCGGAGCCGTGACCTCATCTTCAATGCGAAACACAAAACCAACATCAGCCGTTAGCTGTTAGCCCTAATTTTTTTTGTAATTATTATTTTAATACTTTCTGCTGACACTAGGTGGGGCTGTGTGACAGTTTTGTCTTTTCAGCCGTGCCGACACCTTTTCGGCCGAAAACCGTCGGCCAAAGGCTGTCGGCAAAATAAATCACTCTGATTGGCTGTTCAGCTAGCGAATCAGTGCATGAGAAGCGAAACGGTAGTGAGGGACCAAAACAAACTATTAAGAAGGCATATCTGAGATTTCATTTAACTCCAGCTCTCGACACCGGTTCGGGAAAGCCCCATGAGCTTCTCGTTGTAGAGTGAAAATGGAACGCGCACGCTATTTGTTGTTTGTTTATATCATGCAGTCTGTTCTTCTTCTCTCGGTGTATCACGCAGTCTGTCTTCCTGTTGCCTCTTTTGAATGACGAATACACACTACCGCCGCTTGCTGGTAAGGAGAGTTATTGCCACTCACCAATGCGCAGTGCGCACGTGTTAACTGGCCGTCTTCTTAAGTCTTTGCGGTGTGTTCCAGTGCGACTTTTTGGCCAAGACGCAGGAGACGTGAGGCGACACAACAATCAGGTCCGTCGGGACGTGTTCTTTGGTGTCAGTTTGGTGTGTCAGGGCCTTAAGAAAGACTGAGGCACCAGAGGTTGAGAGACTTCATTGATCTCAGAGAAAAAGCCCTTTGAGCCATGTTACTGAATCGTTAAAGGTCAGTATTTATTTTATTTGTTTTTCTCTCTTATTACTTTGCATTCAGCAAAACATACCTAGATAGGTAAACTACTATTGATGTATTCTCCTTTTTTTATTCATAAGTTGTGCAGATGTGCAGTGCAAATGTGTTTGTTTTTGTCATTTACATGTGTGACAGCTGAAAATAATCTCACATTTTCACATATTTTTAAGATTAAAAAACCTTTTGTAGTGGGCCAGCCCTAAGAAGGGGGAAAAGTCTTGAGTAAGCAGGAAAAGGAACTTTACCGGCTGAGCGTGAGAAGCGTTAAGGGCTTGCAGTAATTCAATAAAAGTAATTGCTTTAGATTTGATCACTGTTGTTCCACATTTTGCCTATTAGCATGCTAGCTTAGCTAATTAGAACCAAACACTGCTGAGGTGTGAATGTCATTAGATATTTGGTCAAAGGGTCAAACAAAGGACCATTTCAATCTTAGTTATTCATCCTGAGGTGGACATGAATGTGAGTACAATATTTCAAGATCATCCATCGATCCAATAGCTGTTGCTGTTGACTTCTCGTAAAACTACAAATGTCAACCTTGTGGTGGTGCCAGAGGAAAGCTCAGGGGATGGCTAAATAATTGGGCTTTATCCTCTGGGAACCATGAATGACTGCACCAAATAGTATGCCATTAAAACAACTAAACGTTTACATATTTCCTGGAACAGTGACAACTTTGACCTACTTGTCAAACTAGACTAGACTAGAGCTCAGGGGGAAACCAAGGTCTTCCAATAGTTGAGATACGTAGATCTGGACCAAAGTGGTGAGCAACTGATCCACACTTCACCCAGAGTAAAACACTTTTTCTAGACTCTTTCGCATGCTTGAACAAAAACAAAAAAGATTTGTCCAATGCAACCGTTTACTCCGAATCTCCGAATAAAATTGCACAATATAAATCTATTCTAGTAGACCTCAACAATGGAATTATGATCAGTGGAAATGGCCATGACATGGGACCTTTAAGGAAGAAACCTGCTCATCTTATATTGGCATGTGCTGACTCATGATGGCAAATCAACTAATTTCCATCTTATCTGAAACAGGTTACACTTGTAGTCATCTCCATGAACAGTCAGCCTGTCTGGTACACCCACCACATTCCATATGTGTAATGGTTACTGTTGTTGACTTGGCAAATATAAAGGGTCCCAAACGAAACTGATTTGATTCACATTAAAGTTCCCATGTCATGGCCATTTCCACTGATCATAATTCCATTGTTGAGGTCTACTAGAATAGATTTATACTGTGCAATTTTCCAAAATCACTTTGGTTTCTCATTTCTAAACTACGTGTATTCACTGAATTTCACTCTCTGCCTTTAACGGCTCGTTGTACCGCCAATAGCTCCAGCCCCCACCCTCCCTGTGAGCACTGTGTGCTCTGATTGGTCGGGACGTTGTGAATCGCGCTGAGCTCCGTGGAGGTGTGGTTTCCTTGCGACAGCGAAACACAGCCAAACTCACCCTGAGCACACACAAAGTCACAGCCGAAGTAAAAACAATAAGTGTGGCTTGATATTGAGTAAGAAAAAGGTTGATATACGCTGTGAATTCTCACAGCGTATATCAACCTTTTTCTTACTCAATATCAAGCCACACTTATTGTTTTTACTTCGGCTGTGACTTTGTGTGTGCTCAGGGTGAGTTTGGCTGTNTTGGATAATAGTTGGCAGGGTGCTTTTTAATTGCCTCCCCGATTTTAACTGCAATTATACGTAATTTCTATGTGTTTGCTCTCTCGTCTTTAACTTGCATATACCACGTTCATGTATCGTGGTCTGCACAAACTTGTCATCATGCGTGTATTCTGCTAACTGCACTGTCCATAACTATTTGATAGGAATACATTTCTAGCCTAGGCTATTTCCTTGTTTTTCTGTGATTTAGTGGGCTCGTTTGTGGGATGTTGCGGATGAGTTTCACCGAGACCGCCTGCTCTGAACAACCAATCACCGTACTGACCGCTTCTAAACTCATGCACGAGAATCGACTTCATCCATAGCAACGGCGCGTCACTCTTAGTGATTTATCCTTAGTATGAGTAGGTCTCAGCGGCTTTGTGAATAACTTTTAAGAAAAAACTCCTACGTAAAATGTTTTAGCGCGAGTTAGGAGCACTCCTAGCGGTAAGATAAAATGCTTTGTGAATACGGCCCCTGGTCTTCAAGGTTCTTTATTTAGTCATACGAACATAGCTACAGTGTAGTTATGCTGATGAAAATCTTGTGTCACCCCCTGTCTCATGTCTTTTTCTACTTGCTGTCTCTGGCCGTTTCTCCATCGCGAGGAAACTGGCTTCCAAGCCAATATTTCAAGGATGCTACGTCATCGAGTGCCGCCGAAGGACTGTTCCAATCTCCAGCATACTTGGAATTCCACCGAGACCACGTCCTTGGTTTGGGGGTAATTTCGAGGCTGCACATGGGTAGACTTCGCGTCCTTCAAATCCCCAAAATGCTTTGCGCACGGACCAATTTCAAAAACCCTTGCGGAGAATGGCTGTACCGACGCACAGCACACATTTAAATGTAGTATGTAGTGGCGTAGAACATGTGTTGGTAAATATGTTTGTTGCATTTGTTATCACCAAAAATGTGTTCCGTGAAAGTAGAGCAAGTTCATAATTAGATAGACATCGTGAGGTATTTATTTTCGGTACAGTTTATGTTGAAACCGTTAGAGAGAGTGGCACACTTGTTAGCCTGTTCCATTCTTCTTTGTTTTCCGAAGCCGTGGCTCGGAAGTATACTTGCTTCGTTTCTGAAGGAAGTGACTTGGAAGTATGCGACTACCAAGCCAGTATCCTCGCGATTGAGAAACGGCCTCTCTGTTTTCCCTTCTGTGTGATTGGTGATTCTGGTCACCTGGTGCCCTTGTGTTTTCCTCCCCAGCTGTGTCTTGTCCTCTGATTGGTCTTGAAATAAAGGGAATTTTCAGTTTCAAACATGTGTCTGTTCAACCTGCTCTGCTAAACCCTGACACATGTTAGTGAAAGTAATGCTAAATGAATTACAATAAATGTGTCTTATGTGGCATACCTTTTTTTTATTAAGTTATTAAGTCGTTTCATAAACACGGTGTATTTTGTGTTCCCTCAGAGTTTCGCCTGGCTGTGGTGCAGCTGCAGGTGGGGGGGGTGAAGGCTGATAACCTGAGCCGAGCCAAGAGGCTGGTGAAGGAGGCGGCCAGCGCGGGGGGCAGCAACCTGTGTGCTGCCGGTCAGTGAGGGGGGGGGGTCATTATTTACCATACTTTACCTCTATGGTCCCATTATCCAGAATCACACATGGACAATATGATTTTTATTTCATAACCAATGTAATCCGAATCAGAAACGGATTTATTACCAGGTAGGTTGACACGTACGAGGAATTTGACTTGGTGTCGTGGTGCATACATAAAAGTCAAACAAAAATTAAAAAACACAGATAGAGAACTATTTTAAGAAAACTATAATAACATTAAAAATATAGTAAAATAAAATATGGCAGTATTTACAAGAATGGATGACAGCTACTTAAGTCATATTCAGACCCAGATACTGATCATTCCAAAACAGGGAACCTAGAGAAGTGTCGAAAAGTGTAATCTCTGGCTTTTCGGGGGGACAATAGGATATAGCTTGTCTAATTTATGTGAGGAGTGGGACTAATGCAACATATCAGTGAGTTACAGTCCCAGAAGCTGCTAATGTGAAACTGAAACCCATATTTTCTACCGTCATCGTTACAGGAGTGTTTTAATTCCCCTTACGGCACCAGCTTCTTCTCTCAGTACGCAGAGAGGATCCCCGGAGAGTCCACAGAGCTGCTGTCAGAGGCAGCCCGGGAGAACCAGGTCTACCTGGTGGGAGGTGAGAGAACCGTGTTTTAATCCACCGTGAGTTTGTATTTTGAAGGGGCCCTATCCTGCTGATGTTCAGGTGTATATCAGTATGTAGTGTCTCTACTGGGACGTGTCTCCGTGCTTTAATGTTCAAAAAGCTCTTTATTTCTCTCATACTGCCTGTATGCACCTCTTTTCACCCTCTGTCTGAAACCAGAGCCCAGTCTGCTCTGATTGGTTAGCTGGCCGGCTCTGTTGTGATTGGTCAACCTGCTTAGAGTTGTCCCTCCCCCTTAGCCTATCACGTGCAATGTGTTGGAGCGCTAGCCAAGTGTAACAGAGATGTCCCTATATTTAGGGAGTAAACAAAGGATTCCAATGGAGGGTTTCAGAAGGATTTTAGCCTTTGCAGACCATTTGCATGCACAAAAACCTTTAGCACACACTACAGGAAAGGGAAAACCCTAAAATGCATAACAGGGCCGTTTTAAAAGATAAGAAAGCTAAGCCCTAACATGACAGGAAGCACTTGAAATTACAGTAGTACAAATGAATAATAATCCAAACTTTTTTAATGTATGTAAATGGCACATTAATGTAAAAGGCATTCTCTCATTCACCAGGATCGATCCCTGAGGAGGACGGGGGGAAGTTATATAACAGCTGCATCGTGTTCGGGCCTGATGGGAAAATTATTCTGAAACACAGGAAGGTACGTGAGCATCAACTCCAGTTCTTAGTTTGTGAATAGTTTAGTTCTCAGAGATCACAGCAGGTAATGTATATCTTCCAGATTCACCTCTTTGACATCGACGTGCCGGGGAAAATCCGTTTCCAGGAGTCCGAGACTCTGAGTCCAGGAGACACTTTGTCCATGTTTGAAACACGTAAGTGACCATGCTCCGGTGACTAGTCATTTTAGTAGAATACATTTTTAAAGTAACCCTCCCACCCCCTCACTCTGTGATTCTCCCTCAGCGTTCTGTAAAGTGGGCGTGGGGATCTGCTACGATATCCGCTTTGCAGAGCTGGCTCAGCTGTACAGCAGACAAGGTGAGAGGTGGATATTTAACTGAAATCTGGGCTGATTTTACAGATGATTTTAAGGTCACCTATTGTGCAAAATCCACTTGTTCATGTCTTTTCTACATCAACATGTGTCCCCTCTGTGTAAAGAGACTCTGAAAGTTTCAGGAACAAAGATTCTCTCTTTTTGTCCTGATACATTTCTATAAAAACCTGTCTAAAAATGAGCTGATCAGATTTTGGCCACTTTATGATGTCATAGCGATTTTTTGGCTTGTGTAACCATTAGCCAATCAGCAACCAAGGTAATCTGAAGCCTTCTGAGTAAATCGCCAGAACGCCGACACCTCCTCATCACTCCACCGCTCCCATGTTTCTTTTTGTGTTGCCATAAGTTATTCTCTCTCCGTTGGTGCGCGGGGCTAATGCTAATGCTAATAATGCTAATGTCACAAATACAATGGCGGCTTCACAAAACTTTTCAGAGTTTTACGGGGCGTGGTTTGCAATTCGCCCAGCCAATAGAAATTGGTACTTTTTTGGTAGTGACAAAAAGTAGTTATAAATATCCAGAGTCATATTATGTTTGTACAGAGACTTCACAAAACCCGAGGTTTATGGTTTGTCGTAGTAACGTCGTAATGGGTATTAAGGGGAGGCGAAAGTCCGGGACGAGTTTCACGACAATAAGAAGACAACAATGAAATCTACTTTTAAAATACTCGCTCGGTGAAGGGGTGCGGGGAGACTCCTCTCTAAACCAATTTTTCTAGTGTGTTATCCGCGCAAGTGTGGCTCAATGAAAAGGGGACGATGAAAAGACGAATCAAGCAATGAGGGAATACAACGAAAGTGTGCTTTTTCTCATGAAATCAGGGCCGCTTGAAATGGTGGTAAAAACCACAGGACGGAA